TGACGCGAGAGGTGGTTGGACATTTAAGGGGTGGAACCCTGTACAAGATCATCATCCTTGGAAGGAACTGACAGTTCTCCTAGGACCCTGGCTGGTTTTCAGGACAGTGATCTGTAATCAGAAGAGTGAGCCTGGCTCCTTGGCTTCCTGTCTGGCCACGTGGTCTCTCCTCACCTGCTGCCTTCTGCCATTACGTGGTGTAGTCAGGGAACTCTTACCGGAGCTAATGCCATGGTGCTTGGACTTTTGGCCAGGCTAAATAAACTTCTTTTCTGTAAGTTACCCTGCTTCAGATTTTTTAAATTTTGTTTTAAAGAGAATAAAGAAAATAACAAAATAACAACATAGAAAAAAACAAAACAACACAAAAACAATAAAAATTGTACAGGGAGTCAAAACAAAATGATAGGACTTAACAGTGGTTGTTATATTACATATTGTTATCTTCAGTGAAATTGCTCAGGTTACCAGATGTAAGAATGTAACATTGATCAAACCATTAAAGAGAATAAAAAATAATAAGAAAACATTAGAAACAATACAGAACTTCATTAAACAAGATGGTAGGAGTGCACCAGTGGTTGTTATATTGCATACTGTTGTCTTCAAATTAGCTGTTTAGATTACCAGATACGAACATGCAAAATTGCTCAAAAAATTTAAGCATTAACTGTTCTTTTTAATAAACCATTAGACATCAGCAGTACAATTGTCCCAGCTATCCTTCTATATATTGATATTTTATAATAGTAACAGAAAATGGCTTTGATAATAACTCATGATCTCCTTCACACCCAAAGAGGTCATATTGGTCCTAGACTGATGGAACCAAGAGTATTTGTTTAAGTCAGTATCAGCACAAACATTAGATTATCAGATATACCCTTCATCGTCGTTATTGGAACCTGAAAATTCTGTGCTTCTTTTGAAGAGAAGGATCCAGAAATGGGCTGGATGTTTCCAAGATACTGCTATTGCTTTTGTTCTGTAACTAATCAGTATACATTCACCAGGAAGTCTGACATCTAGTCAGTGAGAAGGCCCACTTTTCAGAAATTAAATTCATGTTCATTTCATGTGACCCAAACACAGCCAGGAACCCGTTATGAGTTGGATTTGAAATGTACGCCCAGGGCCTCATGTGCATAGAAGGTGACCGGATGATGGGAGCCCCATGCCCATCAGTGAACTAATTCACTGATAAGTTCAGTAGCTAAATGTGCTGTTAGGAGGAGTGGCCTGCTGGGAAGAAGTCTGTCGCGGGGTGTGACCTGGAAGGCTGTCCTCTTGCCCCTGGCTCCTCCCACTCTCTCTTCCTGGCTGCCATGGGCTGAACCGCTCTCCTCCCCCAGGCCCTTTCCCTGTGCTGTTTCTGCCTTGGAGCAGGCTGGCCAGGGACTGCATCCACTGAACCCACAAGCCACAGTAACCCTCTCCTCCCTTAAGCTACAGAGGTTGGGTGTTCCGTCCCAGGGACGGGACGGTGACTAATGCAGAGTCTGACACTGGACATGCCAGGCAGGGAGAACGCACTTGAAACAGGGCTATATTTAGTAGTTAGAAGCAACCTCAGTTTAAGTTCTTGGTTTCAAACTACTTGAGTCCAAATTCCAGCTTTGTCACTCACAACTGGCTTTGAACCATTCACTTTACTTCTCTGAGTCCTGGTTTCCTCCACCATGAAAGATTTCTTCATCTCTAAAACAGAGAAAGCAGTGAGAATATTCAGGTAAAACAGTCAATACATGCACATATTTTATAAGTTTTACAACAAATCTATGTCAATGCTCACAATGGACCAGGTGTAGTACTAGCCTGAACAGCTTATGCCTATTATTTTATCTTTTATTTATTATGTGACATAAGTGTTCTGCACATATCCACACTCTAAATAAGAGGGAAAAATAAAGATCCAAAGTTTGCATTTAAAGCTCTCACCTTTGTTTCTCCCTCTGTAGCGAGAGAGTGTTGGATCTCACATGGGAGTGGGATGGGGTACAGATGACCTTCAAGACTGCTGTAAATCCCTCCCCAAGTTACAGGCGGACTCTCTTTCTCTCTCTCTCAGAGAGGTCAGTGCACTTTCCTTCTGACTAGAAGCAGTGTCATTTCTCAGTATTGTTTTCAAAACAGATTAGTCGCAATAGACCCTATAGTGCTCTGTTACCATTGGTACAGTCAGCCTACAACAGCGCTGATGAAAATGTTCTCTTGGAGTCCCGTGGGTCTCTCTGAACATTTCCGCAGTGTTGTCTGTTCAGAGTTCACCTGAGGAGAGTGTGTGTGTGGGAGCAAGGTCACGAAGCTGGCGGGGCAGCTTGTCCTCCGCAGCAGACTGGAGCTCCAGATGGGCCATGCTGGCTCTGAACACCATTCCCCGAAGCCCCATTGTGGAATCTGAGAGTTCAGGATCTTAAACAAGTGTCTTAGCTCCACCTTTTCTCCCTGGCTGGAGTCACTTTGAGGGTATTCCTAGTAGCATTCCTCACTCACCCTCTGCAGTTAGAATATCTAGAATCTTCATTGCATTTCTGGACACCATCAATAGATAGTTCATTTTTCTATCTTTCTTCCTGTAGTTTTCACTGTTGATCTGGGTTCTGCCTTCTAAAGCAGCATAGACTAAATATACTTTTTATGCATGACAGATCCTTAAAACGTGAGGCAAACACCTGGACTTTCTTTAGGAAGTCTCACTTGTGCTCCATTATAACTACAGCACCCAGCCCAGTGTAGGCGATATAGTTGCTGCCCATTAAATGTCTTGATGAACTCTTGAATGAATTTTTTACACTAAGCAACTCTAGAATACCAGACAACTTCTCAATCTCTCATAGAATCTCTTCATCCATGGACACGGTCAAGCTTGTTAATATTGTTCATAAGGTGACTGAAACAAACTATTCTATCTCTTGCCATGTAAGGCGTAAAATGTGAGCATGAGCTCCTCTCAGATGTGACCTCCGTGTGGAGGGACCACTTATTAAATGTAAACATGTAACTAGGTAGATGAACGAGACATGCCGGATGGCCGCTGTAGGCAGTAATGGTTGTAAATTGCCGTACTTGCCTGCAATGTTGGAATGAGGGTGGACGTCTGATTTGATTCAGGCCAATCAGATTCTGCTTTTGGGAATTTGTCTCTGCTTGGATGAGCTGAAAATTCCAACACTGAAGCTGGAGGTAAGGACTAGCTAGACTCAGAGGCCAAAGTTTCTAACAGAACCAAGACTCACACAGATGAGAAATGCATGAGCAAAGGCTAAGGAGACCACGAGGTGGACCAAGTGGCTGCCGGGCCCCGATGTCTCCCTGACCACGGCTCGGGGCACCTCGAGGCCGTGCTATTCTTCCTGTAGATCTCTGAGTCCTTATGACAATCAGTGTCTCATCATGGCACACGACAAACACACAGACTGCAGACACACCCACAGGGGACCTTTGCTGAAGACAATTCCTTGAAATCAAGCTACCACTGAGTAAAATAGTTTATTTCATCCAATATAACACTAATTCTTGATTCATATTCTACACATAGTTAACAGAAACACTCAAGTTTCTTTTTTTTTTCCCACAAAAACTGCTATTAAGACCTTTGTATAAAAGATTTTTTGGAAAGTTGGTTGGTTTAGATAATCATCCAAAAGCAATATACTAAGCAGCTCTCCATACGAGTATACTTTTTAGAGTTTTAGTGTTCGTCAGTGGTCACGTTGCGCTGTTGCTGAGGACTGTCCCTAATAATCTTCCCTTTTTATTTACTTCTTATTCCCAGTGAAATGAAAACCAAGCAGGTACCCATACCTAGTTCATGAAAGTTGTAATCTGTGTGTGGACCCGGGGCTGGTGTAGGCTTTGAGTATGTGGTTTTTACTATATCTGTTTTGAGCAATTGTTTCGTGTATGTGGTTTCCTCCTTAGGTTCTAGGTTGCTAGAGGTTTAGCAAGCGAATATTAGGCTCCTGGAGGTGATGGGGACATAACAAAGAGGCACCTCTCTATAGCCCACTTCTCTGTAGCCCTCTTTTTCTATAGCCCAAATGCCAGCACAATGCACGGAAGTTATACTAGGTGCAAATCCATTTTCATTAGCAACAGAAGCAAGATAAGACGAAGAAGAGGGATTTGGATCTTGGCCCTGCAGTCTTTCATGGGTACAATCCTTCAGCAACTCTCTTAATGTCTTTAACTGTCAGTTTCCTCATTTCTATAAGTCTCTTTATTTCTAAAGCCTGTAAATACTATAAGTGTATAAGAAATGCTGAGAGGATTAAAGGACTTCACATCTATTAGGACACTTTGCACAGTCCTTGGTACTTAGTAAGTACCCAACAGATGCTGTCTCCTAGCACTGCTGGAGTTGCTGAGGCATTGCGCTGTCTACGTCCCCAGAAAGAAACGTAGAAAACAATTTGCAAAGAAGAGGACTGGGGCTGGGGATTTAGCTCAGCGGCAAAAGCGCCTGCCTGGCAAGCGCAAGGTCCTGAGTTCGGTTCCCGGTACCGGAGAAAAACCAAAAAAAA